AGGCTCCCTGGGGAATTTAAGGTATTAGTTGTAAAGTTTGCATCGTGAAGAGGCCAGGGAACGACGGTACGGCAATGGATTATTGTGTCCATCTGTGCTGAGCTTCAGGTGTTATCCACTTCAGGTAACACAATGCAAGGTGTTGACATTCTTGCATTGCAGGGCATTGGAAGTCAGGGTTGGTTATGTACACAGAGAACACATTCCTGCGGAAGGATCTGGTAGGAACGTTGGGTTGCTCGGTCAATGGCCAGGGTCAACGGCGGCGTGGTGTATTCCCCAAATATGGCCGACTGTGAGGGCGGGCACAAGCCGCCGTGAGTAGGTTAAACGTTGAGTTTTATAAGGGCACCACGGGGTGACCAGCCACTCCCCACCCAGCCCCACCCCTCCCAACCCCCATCCAGCCCCACCCTCCCCACCCAGCTCCTCCCCACCCTGCCCTCTCCACCCAGCCCCACCCCTCCCATTTTTGGATGCACGACGGACGGACACAATAATCCCCTGTGGGCTGGTGTAACCAGGAGGTTCCTACCAGTATAAGCACATGTGTGGCATGCCCACATGCAGCATTATGAGGTGGTCAGTGCATGGTGGCAGGACAGAAAGTAGGTTCACTTAACACGCAGCAAATGTAACTATTGATAATGGATTGATTACTGGGTAATGGTTTGGCAAAAAAAACAATATTGTAGCAGGTAAGTAAGTTTCGATTTAAAGCTTTCGTGACTGCATGGATTCATATTATTGGTTCTTTCGGTAAAGTCACGTAGAAGGGAAATAATAAAATAATAAAAATATAACATAATTGTTATGTTTTATTTTACGTGACTTTACCGAAAGAACCAAGAATAGGTAAGTGAGTGTTTGACTTATTGGTGCCAGTGCAGTATATATATTTAAGTTATCCACTCATATACATGGGATTTTTCTCTGGGTATACTCTGGGTTTTCCGCCAAAAATGGAGCCAATCAGCCAAAAAAATTTGTTTTTGTTTATTGCGGTTGCACCCGAGTGAAGAGCTGCATGGCTCACAGGGTTATCCCTAATAAATGAAACTGAAAACTGAAACTGAATTACATTGGCCAAAGATCCCACTGGAGCAGCATCCTCCTATCAAAGCGGTTATTGAACTCATTGGGGCAGTCTTGGGTAAAGCAGATTGTTATCTCTTCGTTGTGTGGCTCATCCGACCTCGTGGGGTGGGTTTCTTAAAGAATGTGTCGTACATTAAGTGTATGTATGTACACTGTATTTCAAACTTTTGCACGGTACGTAGCCAACCGTGCGAATTGTAGGTGCGGGGAAAGGACAATAAACTAAACACGAAACGCAATTAGAAAGAAATGAGTTTTCAATCTAGATGATGATTTAAAAGTGCACAGCGCCAGTGGCTTCCTCATATCGGAAAGGAAGAGCGTTCCAGACGGCCGCAGAAACGCGTCTTTGTCCGATGGTCAGCAAAAAGCCGCCGCTGCGAGGATGACCGGCCGGAGTTGCATAGGAGATGTAGATGTTTGCTTTCTGCACGCGAATCGGTATACAGTAAAACCTTGGATTGCGAGCATAATTCGTTCCGGAAACGTGTTTGTAATCCAAAGCACTCGTGTATCAGTTGTGATCACGTGACGCTCGGCAGACAAAGCGTATACACGTACTACTCGTATTGCAAGACCTCGCTCGTTAATCAAATTAATATTTATTTTAAAAAATTGCTAGTCTTCAAAGTTCAAAGTTCATTTATTAGGTATAGCCCTGTGATCCATTTATTCGGCTCTTGAATCGGGTGCAACCGCAACAAACAAAAAACAAAAACATGAACACGAAAACATCTTAAAGTGACTATGTGCAAACAGAAAATCCAAGAAAAGACAGCAAAATATTGCAGAAAAAACACCGTACACCAACACTGTGTGCAAAAATCCCAGTGGGATGCAAGTCAAACAACAACAACCACAAGACAACTTAGATTAAGGGCATCAGTCTAACTCTGTCTTGCAAAACACTCGCAGACCAAGTTACTCGCAATCCAAGGTTTTACTGCATTTTCACGATTCAGTGTTGCGATTCGAATTCAGGTTGTCATATAGGGCTTTTTCGGCCCAGTGAATGAACACCAATTGTTGTACAGCACTTGCATGCCTCTTTGACGATGCTCCTCGCTTTCGCCGACCCGCAACCAACCGTCGTGAGGCGTCATCAAATATCCCTCACGAGTCGCGACTACTAGGCCCTTATCCAGCAGTGGATCGACAACAGGGCTTCACGCGTCAAAAGTAACATTTCGACACAACACGCATATTGTGCGCACACGCAGCGCTCGACTGTCAATCCTTCAAGAGTTGTGAAGTTATGAAATGTCATTTCGGTTGACAGCATAACCCATCATCTCTCCAAATGTTGATTAAAAATAAAAATACCAATGCCAATTTCTGCGCGGGTCAACAGTTGCCATCCTATTATAAGAACTGCCCCCTACCATAGGAATGTGGAATTTCCACCGTTGACAGATGAGTGCCACCCTCCCACCCCCCACCCCCCAACACACAATGTTTCATCTCGGAGACATTTGACTTTTTTTTTCTTGTGTAACTATAAAGTACAGCGAGATATAAATACGCCAGTGACCACGCGTGCATTTGCGTAGCGCGCACACGGAAGCCCCATCCAACCCACGCCCCCAACCCACCCCGTCACCTCGCCAATCCCACCGCCACATAACCGCACGTAGGCATCCCCTGCCTGGGTGCCCTCGGGGCATGCACGCTCAGCTATGCCGCTCGGCCAGTGTCAACACAGACTCGGGGGTTGCCCCATTCGCACTCCGTCGTGCGACGGCTGGATGGATGGTGAGCGACGCTGGACTTGCAATCCAAGAAGTCGCCGATTCGTATTCGATCTCTCGGCGTGGCAGTCGACACAATGGTGCGGGTTTCTGAAATGCCCCCCACCCACCCACTGCACCTTCCCTTCCGCCTCTGTTCGTCCACAAATGTGAATGGGGCACATCAAAAGTTATTCGATTGGTCTGGTCGAGTGTGGGTTACTGTTGGGGAGCGGTGGCGTAGCGGTTAGCGCTACGCTGCGCTACGGACCCAGTGACCCGAGTTTGATTCTCGCTCACGGGCAACGCCGGTGACGATTGTCTGAACCGGTCCTGGGCCTCCCTTAGGTCGACTCAGCCTCAAATGAGTAGCTGGCGCGGTGTGTAAAAACATCGCCACCGGAGAGACAAAGGCGGTCGGGCGTGGTGCTGGCCACCCCACCCCCCTCGTGTACCGTGCCGCTTGCCTGGGTTCGACTCCCGGGCCGAGGATATTTGACCGGCGTCTGTAGCGGGCGAGCTGCGTCTTGCCTGCAAGGAGGCTGGCTCGCCTCGGTCAACACAGCCTGCAATGATGTACAACGCGCCTTCTTACTAGCACGTTAAATATTTGCGCTGGGGAGACAAACGCGGCCGGGCGTGGCGGTAGCCACGAAATCGTCGTGCCGGCCTGAAAAGGGATGTCTGTACGTGTGTGTGTCTTTTTTAAATAGGTGCTCGCTAACAGCACTTGCCCCTACAGTCTGTTAAGGCTATACGGGGGATCTTTGTGTGTGTGTTTTTTTACGTCTGATACACGGTCCTTTAATTTGTTGAAATTCGAGCCGGTCTCAAGTTGCCAATGGAAGAAGGCCTTCCCGCGCCGCGTCATTCATGGGGAGGTGGGGGGTGGGAGTTTGACCATACTTCACCAATGCGGTTTGTTCGCGAGCACCACCAATGAAGGAAGGCACGGCGCACGAGGGGGTGGGGTGGCCAGCACCACGCGCGCCCGGCCGCCTTTGTCTCCCGAGCGGCGATGTTTTTACGCACCGCACCGGGTACTCATTTGAGGCCGAGTCGACCTAGGGGAGGATGCCCAGGACCGGTTCAGGTAAATCGTCAATGGCGTGGCCTGGTTCGTTCAGGGGGCTCACGCATGCGGCCCCGTTTGACACCGGTGCTCGTCACGCAACACGAAATGCTGTCAGAACAGCATGAAGTCAGTGCTTGTACTGTAGCGAGTGTTGACTGTTTGTAAAAGCAATCGGGAATCAAAGGCGGCTTGGCGTGGGTTGGTGTTGGGGCAAATCACCTTCTCACATGCCACGGGATGGGATTAATAAGGGCTCGCTAAAGTCGCAGCTTGTGCAGCCTGGTCCGTGACATCGATGTCGTGAAGACGCGAACTGTAAACTGCAGCGCGGCAGCCACTGCTAACCCTGTCCAATGCGGTTGGAACTCTACGCAAATACGATTTTGAAACTTGCACGTGACTGAGTAACTTCCCTTTCGGCAACTAACCGCATACCCTGCACCAAAACATGACTCATGCTACCGGGACCCCTTTACAGTTTACACCTCTAACATTAGCACGAAAGCGACGCCGGCTGTCACTAACTATATATAAGCTTTACACCAAAGCCTTGACAATACCCTGGTGACCATACCCTTATGAGCCGTAAGTCATAACAAACGCGCTACCATAGCGCACGGCACGACGAACCCGGCGACACGGGTTTAATGTCACAACCGACATCAGTGGCGAGTGTGATAGATGCACCGGATCGTGAGCCACCCCATTCACTCCGACCTTACCCCTCCACCCCCCCCATTCACCAAACCATCAGTGACCAACGTGATGAAGTATGGTCAATTCCATCCTTAACCTCTGCATGTCGAACAGACCAATCCTACCACTCCCAACACGACACCCACCACTCCCAACTTCAGTCTCGGCGTTCGTTACAACAAAAAAACCACATGCACAGAGAATAAATATTTCTCGCTCTCCGATGGAGCCCGTATTTATAGCCGGAGGAGGGCACGGAGCGTGGCTGGTTGTGCCCGGCTAGGATTGGCTGTGCAGGGGGTGGCGGTGGAGGAGTGGGGGGTGGGGAGAGAGAAGGGGGGGGGGAGAGACACGCACGCCACCACCACCACCACCACACTTAACGTCAGGCACAGCCGCTCCGCGCTCCCACTTCGACAAAGTGCGCCGGGCAAGGAGGAGCGGTGCAGGGGGAAGGGACGAGGCAGCACCAGTGACGACGCCGCGCGCTCCCTGGACGCACGGGCGGCTCGCGAACATGAGAGCGTCCCGCTCGTTGACAGAGGGACCCTGCGACTCGCTCAACGGCTTCTCGCTCGGCTAGCCAGCCAGCCGAACAAGCTTAGCTGAGCGTTATTGTTCATTTAGTTATTATTTTGTTGTTGTTGTTATATTTTTCACGGCCGCACGCGCGAATGGTGTGGTTCGTGTCGCCCAGGCAAGGCATGGGCGGTGAGTGCCATGCGGGCAGCAGAGACTCGTTCCTAGCGATGTCCCATGGAGCACGGAGCAGCGACAGCAGCAACATCAGCGTCGACTTGAAATAAATAGCGCGACCTTTTTTGTGTGTGTGTGCTCGGCTCTCACTGACTACCGCGTAACGCAGGAAGCAGGAGGAGACTTGGCAACTACCACTGAGATGCGCGAACGAGGCTCGAGTACCTCGCGCCTCTAAGTTGTACGCGTAGACCCAGCCAGGGGTAAGAATGAATGTGTACAATTCCAGCGTTACGCATTCACAGCCAACGGTCTTGAGCCATGGTGCGATCGAGTCGCCTCTGCGTAACGACACCCTTCATCAGCCGGAGCACGTGTCCCTGGAGTGGACCCTGAGCCTCGGCGTGTTCATGTCGCTGGTCGTCTTCGTGATCCTCCTGGGCAACTCCCTGATCATCGCGTCGGTGGCAAGGTTTCGTCGATTGCACACGCAGCCCAACTACTTCATCGCGTCGCTGGCTTGCGCCGACCTTCTAATGGGCCTCATCGTGGTGCCGTTCGGCGCCACGCTCATCGTGTCCGGCACATGGACGTGGTATTTCGGCGAGACATTCTGCGGCTTCTGGACGGCGCTGGACGTCATGTGCGTCACGGCGAGCATCCACACGCTGTGCGCAATAGCCGTGGACAGGTACATCGCCGTGACGAGGCCCCTGCGATACGAGACGCTCATGAACAAGAGGAGGGCCAGGATCATCATCGTGTCCGTGTGGGTCGTGTCCGCGCTCATCTCCTTCCTGCCCATGCAGATGGGCTGGTGGAAGGAGTCTTCTCGCAAAGCCACTGGCCTCATGCAGGAGCACCTTCCCAACAACGGCAGCGGCCACGGCAGCATGACCTGCGAGTTTGACATCACTCCGGGCTACGCCATCGTTTCGTCCGCTGTCTCCTTCTACGTGCCCATGTTCGTCATGATCTTCGTCTACTCCAAGGTGTTTAGGGAGGCTCAGAAGCAGCGGGAGAAGATAGACAGGTGCGAGGTGAGGTCCAACCACCAGCACCACCAACACCACCACCACCACCACCAACACGAGCACAACAACCATCAGCAGCAGCAGCAGCATCAAATGGACAACGGGACTGGCCAGCCAGGCTACACGAGTCCCATCGAGCGCAGGAGACCCACGGGGAGCAGCGGGGGCAAGAAGTTGTCGCAGATATTGTCGCGCAAGGACCACAAGGCTCTCAAGACCATGGGGCTCATCATGGGCACGTTCACACTGTGCTGGCTGCCGTTCTTCGTGGTCAACATCGTGCAGGTGTACTGCTCGTGCGTGCCGCGGGGCCTCTTCGTGATGCTCAACTGGCTGGGCTACGCCAACTCCGCCTTCAATCCCATCATCTACTGCCGCAGCCCCGAGCTCAGGGTGGCCATGAAGCGTCTGCTCTGCTTCTGGAGGTCGCGATCGCCCGGCTCGGGAGGTCGGGTCACGAGGAGACCCCTTTCCTGCGGGACGTCGGATGGGGGTTTTGTCTCCAGCCCGGGATGGACGTCCTCCAAGAGAACGTCGCAGCAACCCGAGACTTTGTCCTCGCAAGGTTTTCTTCTGGACGAGGGAGGAGGTGGGGGTTCGTGCGTCGTCACGAGCTGTGAAGATGAAGGTACGGCCAAGGTCACCACGGCCCCAACTATCAGCAACAACACAGCCACCAACACAGTCGCCACCACCACCACCGCGACTGATGGTGGTGGTGGTGGAGGAGGTGGACAGGAGGCCCCGCATGGAGACAATGGGGTGTTGGACGCGAACGGAAACGCACACTTGTGCCAGTGATGAGACGCTCTGTCTGGCCGCGTGAACTCTAAAGGCGTGTGGATATATGAACTACAATCAGCGTGGGACGCCTGCTGCCTGAACCCCGACCTCTAGGGGTAGGTGGTGAGTGGGTGAGTGGGTGGGGATGGGTGTAGGTTTTAATGTTTACCCCCACAAAAAAAGCCTAAAACTGTGTTCTCAAGACTATTTTTATGTAAATATATTTCAGGACAGTTTGACGCTCGTAATGTATATATTTAAAAAAAGAAACTTTTTTACGTTTTATTTGTACGGTTATTTTTGTTTTCTGTGTGGTTGTTGCTGTTTCATCCCACATCGCGAGTCGTGCCACGTATGTCTGTCTCTAAAAAAAAAGGCCCCATTGGAGAGATTCCAATTCCTCTACACAGTTACCCAGATACTCACTGACTTGCCAACAACGGCTGCTGCCATGCATGGGACGGACATATTCACGGGATGGAATTCATTGCAATTTATCTCGTCCTCGTGTCGAGCGGGTCTGAAATGAATAATGGGTCACTTTGCTAAATTATTATGGGAGATCGTCATAAGTATACCCAACTCTATTTACAACGCGTTTGCCAAATCGTTCTAATGATGATCAGTGCTCGATTGTGTTACCAGCTCAGTGGTTGGGATTTTTTTGCGTGATGGCATTGTTCACGTCGTTTGAGTTCACAGCAACGCGAACTATCTCACCGTTCTAAGCCGTTGACAATCAAGGTGACGTTGTTGTTGTTGTAGCTCAAATTAACACAGAGGCCCTGCTGATAGCCTGTTTGTAGCCCTGAGCGAGTGGTGGAAATTCCCCATTTCTATGGTGGTGGTGGTGGTGGTGATGGAGTCTATCCATAGGTCAACCACTGTTGACTACCCCACAAAGTGGGTACACATTTAATCGACCCCAGTTGGGATGATAAGCTGAGTCAACCCCCCCCCCCCCACCAAACTGAGCTTGAATTTACAATCTTCTGAACGCGTGATGCTCTACCGCCGTGCAGCCTGGCCGACTCGAAACCCGTTGCTATATTATGCGTGAGTCCCTTTATCTTAAAGTGTCTCTTGAAGCGGCGCTTGTCACTGGAATGTCGCAAGTCGAAACGCAGCGCGCCCCTAAGAGCGGCATGGCACACGGACGGGGAGGTGTGCGGTTACACTCGCAACTAAAATCAGTACACAGATATTCGCTCTCGTTATCGTCGGTAACATTAGTTGCTGGTAACTCAATTACGCGGTGTCGCGACGGTGCCTTGATAGACGTTTAGAGCATCTTGTTGAACTCTGACACGCGTAAACGCCACGTAGGATTCATCGTTCTGCAGCAGCGTCAGCAGCCGTGGTCGATCTACTTGCCAACTTGTAGATCAAAGCCTTCCGGCCCCAGCTGCCATCGCCATCATTTGCTGTCCCTGAGAAATGCCACCTCAATTCACTTCACTTCCACTCAACGTGAGTTCATCTCCTCGCCCTGTCTCTCTTTCTCTTCCTCTGGCTTTGCCGTAGCTTCTGACCACGACGTCTCCTCTCACGCCCCTCTTTTTTAAATCCTTTATATTAAGTTCGCTTGCTTGCTTGCTTGCGTGCTTGCGTGCTTGCTTGCTTACGACCGTGCAAATCTTTCGGTCGTTTTTTAACCCACTTCCCGTGATCCAATCGAGCTGACATTTTCCACACAGACTCGTTGTGCGTGACAATTAATTTTCGTGAAAATTTTTTTCCAAAATTTTACACTGTTTAGGGAATTTTTTAAAAATATTTAATTACCAATTGCTTAATGCTGGCAGAAAATCATCTGACCCATAGGTGGCAGCCATCTCAAGCCAGAGGACGAGAGGACTCTAGCCGCCACGCATATAAAGGGTTTATAGTGAAAAACTTAGTTTTTACGGGTTAATTTTTTACTGTCCTCAGCAGCCCACACGATGGCTCGGATGTCTGTAGGTTCCCTGATCCGCTGAGTGATGCTTGTTAATCTTGGTTTGAAGCTTTCGTGACTGCGGGCATCCATACTCTTTGGTTCTTTCGGTAAAGTCACGTAGGTAGAAAATCGCTAGATCACGACGTTTCGATCGTAACACAAGCGACCGTCATCAGCTGAGACAATCACAGCAGGGAAACTGCTTCTGCAGTTGCGACCGAAACGTCGTGATCTATTATTTTCTACCTACGTGACTTTACCGAAAGGACCAAAGAGTAATGCTTGTTAATTTTACAAGCGCATGGCGAGTGTTGTTGTTGTTGCTACTGTTGCCAATGTGCTGCAGAGACACTTCAAAATAATCACTTCCCATTTAGATTTGAGCGGGCTTTATAATTTAAAACGTTCTGTCGTGTTTTTGAGCTTTGCAAGGCAGTGAGTGTTCAGAGAAGGTTACAAACAATTGGCCACCATATCTTGAAACACAGGCACAATAATCATAATCGTAATTGTGTTCACGATTGATGCCATCCGCATTGAATGACCCGTTCCTTATTCTATAAACAACAACAACATCCAAATCTTGCACAATAACTTAATTGCCTGCCAATCAGTCCATACATATCCGCGGTGAACCTAGGGGGGGGGGGGGCGGGGGGATAACATTGCTTATCCTATTATCCGAAAATGTACTCCACTTATATGCAAAAAAAACCGTATTGCAGATAATGGAATAGTGAGGCGGATAATTGGAGTGTCCGTGGAGCCTACTGTTTCCGACGGATAATAGTTGCGGATAAAGAGGCGTGACACTGTATGCGTATACTGTGCTACTTGGTCGCATTGGCCGTCTGATCATCTTATAGACCCTCGTGAGTGTATAATATATAATCTACGGTATATTCATCAGTCCATAATGTTAAATTTCGATTTAAAGCTTTCGTGACTGCAGGGATTCATCTTCTTGGTTTTTTCGGTAAAGTCACGTAGAAGGGAAGTAATAAAATAATAAAAATAAAACATAATAAAATAATTCTTATTAATTCTTATTATTATGTTTATCATGTTTTACTTTTTATTATTATTTTTATTATTTTATTACTTCCCTTCTACGTGACTTTACCGAAAAAACCAAGAAGATGAGTCCACAATGTTGTTTCAGGAACTATTTTGGCACGCCACATCCACATCGCCACGTGTTTTTTTGTTCTCATTTATTATTATTTTCCTCGAGGGATCATGACAGTAACACAGGGTACGACGATGGGGGATTAACTATAGATCGGCACACCTTGCACTCTCGTGGTAGTGCCTTATGCCGATAATCCTCCTTAGGTTTGCTTCTCAAATGCTGGGCCCCCGAGATTGAATCCTCTTCCAGGCTGTTCGGTAACAGAGGCATAGCATGGCAATGATTCAGTGAATTTTGATTCTCAAATCACGCGTGTGTGGGAATAAATATTCACATTACGTTGTATGAAATTGATTCCCGTGTCATGTGAAGCCCCTCGTGGCTGACAACATCCACCGACAGTGTTTTTAAAACACGAACGGTTTTATTAAGTCGAACCGTGTCCCTCGACTGTGGCAATTCATCCGATCGCCGAGCGGGACCATTCATCACATTGTTACTCAGTGAAATTGATTCAACAGGCCGAAGTCTTGCTGATGAGAATCAGTGAAGTAGAAATCAGACTAAAGCCACCTTACATGAATCAACGTTACTGTGATACACATAGTGACCTATTAGCTGATGGATTAAAATGCAGTATTACGGTATTCCTTTGGGCAATCAGGCAGATAACATTTACAAACTGTTTTCTATATACACACACACACAGACACAAACAGAAAGCTAATGTAAGTGATAATTTATAAATACACACAGTGCACACATTCTTGTATATCTACCTACGAGGTTCAGTAAAAAAAACAACACTTGTGAATATCTCTATCACATTGCATGATCAGGCTGACGGCTGCGTTAGAATATGAAAAGGTGCCAGTGAGTGACGTCTTTGGGGGGTAACTTTAAAGTCAACTTTTTTTTTTAAAACAACAATCTGATCACAGGCGTGACCATCCAGTTCACGCAGTCCTCTGTGGTGACAGCAATGTAAGGCCTCAGGGAACCCATCCCACAGCTCATCCATCAGCTCGTGCCGAATAAACAATGGGCTCATGCGACGCCAATGAAGCCTTGACCGCGTGTCAGCGCGGAAATTCGATTGACGCAGAGAATTGGGCCGATGTGAAGCCACCCTCCCGCCACCGCCTTGGGGCTGTTGAGTTAATGACATCACGATTTCCGGTTGTGGTCACCTGCGTGACACGGAGCTTCTGGGTTGGCAGTGAAGCTGAAACACAAAAAGAAATGCCGTTGGCAAAGAGACACATTTGTGAACGTGAGCTTGATTCCAGGCCACAGCTAGCATCAGTGGCAGGCAAGTGATATCAGAACCGGTCCTGCCCTCTCTCCCAACCAGCCTGATGAAGTATGGTAAAGAAAAACCATAGGGGGAGCCTTCATCCATCTGTAAAATGAGTATAGATAGAGTATTTTATTTTTATTAATCTAGCAAGATAATTGTGCAACAGGTAATTAAAATAGTGGGGGGATACATGTTGGGTGGCAGAGGGTCGTGCAGCAAAATCCATTGTACTGTACTTATATGCCCTGTTGATGTATTCCAAGCCTTAAACAAATCTGCACTGACTGGCACGGTGAATTATGGTGAAATAACTCTCAAAGCAGCAGTGGATGGACACACAAGGGCTGGGCACGTACAAGTAACATAGCAGAATTGATACAGCACGCGCATAAACAGACATTCACAGAACTCGACTCTTGAACAAAAGGAATCATCGGTTTGGAAATGTAAGTTGGGAGTGAACTCAACCCATGCTCCCTCCAATTGTTGAATTAAATATGTGGCAATTTGCGGGAGGTTAACAAGTCACTGCCCTATTTGAGGGATTGTCCCCCGCCATGGGAATGTGGAATTTCCGCTGCCCACTCAGGGTTGCCAATGGAAATGAGCACTAACCTCTTGTAGGCTTGATTTTTTTTTACTATATTGTGGAATATAAATATGCAATGCATGGTGACATGGTCCTTGGCTTTTAGGACCTTGAAAGGTCTAATTCCACATGGGGGAAGGCTTCGAGAACCACACAGAGATGGATTAATCA